AGGGTCCTATGTTAAACTAAGTCCCCCGCTGGCGGCCATCTTGGATGATGGATCGGCTACAAAGAAACAACACTTGGTCAACACCTCATAAGGAACATTCATGCCATGTTTGGTTCCATTCCATTCAGTGGTTCTCTAAAAGAAGACATTTTTATGTATTTCCCGTAGGGTCCTATGTTAAAGTAAGTCACCCACTGGCGGCCATCTTGGATGATGGATCGGCTGCAAAGTAACAACACTTGGTCAGCACCTTATAAGGAACATTCATGCCATGTTTTGTTTCATTCCATTTAGTGGTTCTCTAAAAGAAGACATTTGTACGTATTTCCCATAGGGTCCTATGTTAAACTAAGTCCCTTGCTGTCGGCCATCTTGGATGATGGATCGACTGCAAAGTAACAACATTTGGTCAGAACCTCATAAGGAACATTCATGCCATGTTTGGTTTCATTCCATTCAGTGGTTCTCTAAAAGAAGACATTTGTATGTATTTCCCATAGGGTCCTATGTTAAACTAAGTTCCCCGCTGGCGGCCATCTTGGATGATGGATCGGCTACAAAGTAACAACACTTGGTCAGCATCTCATAAGGAACATTCATGCCATGTTTGGTTTCATTCCATTCAGTGGTTCTCTAAAAGAAGACATTGGTATGTATTTCCCATAGGGTCCTATGTTAAACTAAGTCCCCCACTAGCGGCCATCTTGGATGATGGATCGGCTACAAAGTAAAAACACTTGGTCAGCACCTCATAAGGAACATTCATGCCATGTTTGGTTTCATTCCATTCAGTGGTTCTCTAAAAGAAGACATTTGTATGTATTTCCCATAGGGTCCTATGTTAAACTAAGTTCCCCGCTGGCGGCCATCTTGGATGATGGATCGGCTACAAAGTAACAACACATGGCCAGCACCTCATAAGGAACATTCATGCCATGTTTGGTTTCATTCCATTCAGTGGTTCTCTAAAAGAAGTCATTTGTATGCATTTCCCATAGGGTCCTATGTTAAACTAAGTACCCCGCTGGCGGCCATCTTGGATGATGGAACGGCTACAAAGTAACAACACTTGGTCAGCACCTCATAAGAAACATTCATGCCATGTTTGGTTTCATTCCATTCAGTGGTTCTCTAGAAGAAGTTCAAAATGTAAAAAGTTTACGCCGACGACGGACGACGCCGGACGACGACGGACGACGCCGGACGACGACGGACGACGGACGACGGACGCCAAGTGATGAGAAAAGCTCACATGGCCCTTCGGGCCAGGTGAGCTAAAAAAGGGGGAGGGGTTTTTCACATGCCGCGCCGTATCTCAAAAACGATTTATGATTATTGCTTAAAATTTTACATACTTCTTAGTTATATTAATCTAAAGATCTGTATACTTTTTGGTTTTGATTCAAAATTTTATTTTAGAGATATTGATTTTTTTTAAAGGGGGTTTTCCCATGTCGCGCCGTATCTCAAAAACGATTTATGATTATTGCTTAAAATTTTACACACTTCTTAGTTATATTAATCTAAAGATCTGTATACTTTTTGATTTGATTCAAAATTTTATTTTAGAGATATTGAGTTTTTTGTAAAAAAAAAAGGGGGGGGGGGGTTTCGCATGTCGCGCCGTATGTCAGAAACTATTTATGATTATAGCATAAAAATTCACACAAGACGACGGGACTTATCATGCGCTCATGGAGCAGCTGTTTATTTTATATTGAGAAATTGCTAATATCTAAATTTTTTTGTTATTTTGAAAATGCCTCTTAAAAAGGAAATAATTGGAATTAAATTTCTGTGCTTATCTTGTACGTGGAACTCTGTTCGGGTATAGAACAGGAATCAAACATCGGTCAAGTGCCTGACAAGTGTTATTTTCGTAAAAGTATACTAAAAATCATTCTTGCCAATTTTAATAAAAATAAGAATTGGCACAGGTTTTTATTATAGTATTGTTTTTTTAATCTTGGCATGGTTGTCTTCTTTGGGTTTCCTTATAGTTTATCAAATTGATTTTGAAGATTCCTTTGGTATTCTACTTGTTTTATTTTCATAATAATTGAAAAGGTGAATTTCTGATAAAATGTTTTCAAAATAAGGCGATTATCTATGCTGTATGTAATCATATCCGACTTGAGTACTTGTGAGCCAAAAATATAATTGTCAACTATCGGATTCACGTTTGAGCATCATAACGATGTTTTACATTTGTTCGGCTCCATGACTTTTCTTTTACACAGAAACTTTATTTAGGTAGAATGTATTTGCCAGTTATATCTTTCAATAAATCTCAAAGAACTATTCTTTTGCTGCTATATATATATATCACTCACATTTTACTAATTGTATTAATCTAATCTTACCCTTATTAATAAATAACTCATCAAAGATAACTGTCTTAATTTTGTACTCCAGTCGCGCGTTTTACCTACAAAAAAGTCATCAGTGACGCTAGTGGAAAAAAAGTTTACATTAAACACAAAGCATTTAAAAGCAACCGTTGTACTTCCTAGACCTTGACATTTGACTAACAAATGGACTATTTAGAAATTATCCGAAAAAAGCGATTAATCTTTATTCACACCTTTTGATACGCATAGTATTTCTAGTATCAGAAAACTATTATAGAATTTTGATATCATTACTTGACAAAGGCTCGTGTAATATCTATGATTGCACTGGAATATAAAGAAAACAATTGCACAAATAAAGACACAACTTGGCGGGGAGAATCCGTTAGTTCCCAAAGAAATGTTGATTTTTTTAAAATCATGTATCTTAATGATGTCAGTTTCCAAAAAAAAAAAATGATAGGAATCAGAATGTGTTTTTGTTTACACAGAATGATTTGTTCTTAATTTGTCTTTCATAAATCACACAAACAATAAAAAAAACACGGTTTATCGAAGTAACACAATATGCAAATTACAAGTAATCAATTGTAATGAAAACACTTGTAAACCAATTTTGATTTGAACAGCTTTGAAAAGACCGAACAATAAAGTACTACATAATTTTCAGTCTAAAGTCAATTTTATGACTTATCATCTGCGGTAAATTCAGTACTGTTCAGACAATTGTTTGCAGTCGGTTAAGATCTTTTCAGTCTACTTTCAAACTGTTCAGTAGTTGTTATTTACCTGTATACATCAACAACTTACTTAATTGTTTTAAAAGCTACTAAACAGCTATAAATTGACTGCAAGCAAATTGTCTGAACAGTACTGAATTTACCGTAGTAAGAAAGTCTGAAAATTAACCAAAAGACTTAACTTGGCTTGATAATTCATTGTTCAGATGACTTTTCAGATGATGTTAAGACCAAAATAATCGTTGAAGACTAAAATGCATTTACTTATGATATGTATTTATATGATTTATAGCATTAAAGTATCTGAATAAGTTATCGTAATATAAGTGAAATTGTTTTTAAATTGCTTTGTGAATTCACGTTACTAAAATGAAACATTTGAAATACTATAAATATAATAAGTAAAATGTATGTTACATTATTTTGGGACGATTGTCTTTCAAATTAAATTTTGATTTAATCTGGTAGTAGTCGAATTACAGATATTCGATTTAATTTGAGGGGGGTGGGGGGAAACATTTTTTTGGTAAAAAATAATATTATCATGTCTGTGTATGTGAAATACAAAAAGCCAAAATAAAAATATTAGTATTGGATATCTTTGTAGATTTATCAGTGAACCATTGAAAACGTACAATGTGACATAAATCGATACAAAAAGCCACCACTTCAGCTTGCTATAATTATTCAATAATAAGCATTCCAACGCAACTGTAATGAAATAACAATGTATCGATTCCAGTTTATGTCGTTACATTTGATAGTTAATGCCTATATGATATTATATAGACGGATGCTTGTATATCCATGAATAACGAGGTTTTGGATATTTGACAGATTCCTTTCCATTACAACGTAATGATATTGTCATACGACTAGCAGAAGTAATATCTTAAAATTTTAAAATGGGTTTCAATGTTTTTAAATACATCTTAAAATCGGTTCTTTGCATTGTTGTTATAAATTAAATTCACCAAAAAGTGTTTAAAATGTTGACTTCTAAGGATGTTTTGAATCGATAATTTCCCAGAATTTAATTGGATTTAAATGTATCACCTGCTCGATTTTTGGAATTTAGTCTTGAACAAAAATGATTATTTACAAATGGCATTGTCTGCCTATTGTCAAAGTGAAAAAAGGTCAATAAGTGGGTTAATATACCAAAAAACAAATGTATAATAGTCATATTGGTAATATTCGCAGATGAAATATACATTGTTTTGTAAACAGAACATCTATTGACTAAAGAGTCGTTAAGTTGTTTGAATGTTGACAGAACATTCATTGAATTCTACTGACATAGAAAATCGATGGAAAGCAAATGTGAAATACATTGAATATATCAAATGTTTTTTTTTTTTAATAAATAGGACTGATTTAAATATGAAAAGAAAAGCAAAGTTCATGGAATTTTGCCAATAAATTATTGATCAGATTCGATCTGATTTGTTTTTTCCAAATTTTTCATGATTTTTCGCTATTTTTGATTTTTGTTTTCCTGTAATAAGGCAACTTAACGCATATGAAAAGTTAATTTGTCTGAAAGTTAAATAAACCCGAGCAACAAACTTTCGACATATCTGCTATCGACCTAATTATGTGTTGTCTTGAATAAGGATACAAGTTTTATTTCTTTACGTTGAGAAAGTCTCATTTCTAACTCCACATCCTTTTTTCTTCACAATTGAATGACTTGAATTTTAAATTATACAAACTTTTTAATAAAGAATTATCTTTTTTCCTTTAAATTTGCTGGTCCAATTGTAAAAAACTATGTTTATGGTTTTTTATGTTATGGTTCGGGATTGTTTGGGGTATGCGGTGTTTTATTATCAAATAATTGGTTCAGAGTTTATGTCTATAATGTATGAATGTTATTGTGTTAATACTACTTTTTTTTCAATTTCAGATTTTATTGGGATTTATTTATGTTAGTTCTGTTAATTGCCAATCTGATCATACTTCCTGTTGCCATATCATTTTTTAATGACGATCTCAGTACACACTGGATAGTATTCAACTGCATATCAGATACAGTTTTTTTCCTGGATATTGTTATTAATTTTAGAACGGGTATGTATCCCATTATAGTCAATTATTGACTTAATAATTGTTTTTGTAGATGAATGTGTGTCGAACAGATTCGAACACAATCAGATGAAAGAATATAACTAACTTTTGACATTTTCCAAACAATGACAGACACTTCTTTAACAGTGAACACAACCAATAAAAAATTGTTGTCATTGTGTTTCGATCCGTTTAAAGGTATCATGCAAATCTTTTAATATAATTTTTCTTTCTTTTTACTTGAAATTTAAAGTACGAGTGGGGAATATTGTAAAATCAGAGAACGTTTGAAATTGACAAAATTGTTTCCAATATCAAACACTTCAGATTGATTTAGAAAGTGGAGAAGATACAAGCAGGCAATATAAAACCACAAGTCAAAGAAAGACAACTCTCTGTCCAACATAAACATTTCGATAATTTTAAACTTTCTTTCAACGCTTGTCCGATTACAAATTTCCTGATTGATAATTCGATGTTGATGTTGCTTATTCATGTTTACTCAGTATATCTGTTTACTATAATATCGTAATACTAAAATTACAACTATATGCTCTATCGATTATGGTTCGATTCATTTCTTTTTATGCCAGTCTGACTAAATAGCAAAGAAAGAAAGAATGACCATTTTTTTATGCTTAGGCCATATTTTGGCTGGTTATTTGAAAACAAACTTAAATTTTGAAATATAGAGATCATTTCCTTTTATTCAGTTTTGATTAATAGGTTGATTATACTTGATATCTTAAAATTGTCAACATGAAATTGAAATTGTAATCACGGATTCAATGCAAAAAAAAAGAAACCGTCATCATCTTTCTATTACCTACAATTATAAGTAGTAAACCAATGCGGTATTAAAAAATTTGAACCAATACAATAAAATGTAGATGTTTTGTTCACTTGAATATTTTTTACCATAGATAACAGGTGATTCCTTGCCCGACTTTGGTTTTATTTTTTTGTCATTTTTGGTTTATAAGCTCTTCATATTTTTAATAAGCTTTAAATTTTTAAAAATTTTGGCCCCGAGCATCACTGAAGAGACATTTATTGTCGTAAAGTGCATCTGGGGCAGAAAATTGGTACCGTTAATGTTATTGTAACGTCTGGTGTATTAAATTATAATAAACGAGAATATGTTAGTTTAGGCAGCAGTAGTTTACCGATATTCGTTCATATGAATCAAATGAGAAGATGCAAAGCAAGGTAACAAAACAAAACACTGATGGAATTGTAAGAACTCAAAAGGGAGCGAGACAGGGTGCATCAACGGATTACGCGTCTCTATTATGGTATATAAATAAAGGTAACAGTAGTATACCGGTGTTCAAAAGTCATAAATCGATTGAGAGAAAACAAATCCGGGTTACAAACCAAAACCGAGGGAAGCACATCAACTATAAGAGGAAAACAAATGAACAACAGGAACACCGAAGTGCAACAAAAACAAACGCCAACACACATAGAAACGAACTATTTGATAACAACTGCGACAACATGTCGGTAGTGAGTTCAGACAGAAACTCATATTATCGGTCAATCAATTTGTGATGGTGACGTAAATTTTATGTAGTGCGGTTGATATGACATCATCAATATATCTGATAGTGCAATTAAAGAATTTGCAAATACGTCAGATAGGTTAATATTTCGGGTAGTCGGATTGATTGATCGATGATTTGAAACAAAAATTTATAATATTTTTTTAGGTTAAAGTTTATCTGAAATAAAAACGACTAAGAAATTGTGTCCAACTTCTCAAATATTAGCAAAGAAAAGTACATCAATTTGTATGTTACAATGAGTTAAAAAATAAAACGGTTTATCTTTACATTATGATTTTTAGAATGTTTGACTCCAAGCATGTTCCATTTTCCAGGATCTGCTACTTATCAGAAACTAAGATTCTTCGTATACTTGCTAGTCCTTGTCACTTTGGTACAAATATTTTGTCTCAGTTCGAATTTACCGTATTTCCATACCTTTCATGTTAAAAAAAGGCAAATTAAATAAATTTGCTGAATTGTTTATCGATTCAAAGTTTTTTTGTGTTTTTATCGTTTATTTTTTTTCAAATAATTTGCACGGCATATTAGATAATATATATATTGTCAGAATAACGAGATTGGCAATCTTTGCTTATGTCAATCGAATAAGTTGGTATCCCCCCATGGGCTTCTCTAATATAGTTTTGTACTGGAACTGAGTATTGGCGTGTTCCTGTGATGTACACAAACAGTAGAAAATCACTTGAGTATAGTGCGTAACGAAAATTATCTTGCTTTTGCCGATTTTTGTGTTAAACAGAAAATAACATAGAAACAATAATGTACTTTTTAAACATTCAAATTTGTCCCCGGCGAACTCATATTGATACTGTCGTAGCAGAGAACGTGTCACAGGAGGGCCAAATGACTAGACAGTCCTGAAATTGTACAATAAAAACAGATTAATTGTCAAACATTAAACTTGATAAAATGCGTTTGTTGCCTCAACATGATTGTATTGTCTGGATGTGAAAACAAAATCGTCTAGCAATAAAACATAGTTAAAAGATGACATTCTATATATTGGTACATTACAAAACTACCATTGTACACAAGCTTAGCAATAAAAACTATTACATTTGATTGATCTCTATGGTTGTTATTCAAAATATCAAGGATATTATTTCCCGCAGGAGTCATTAGATGAGTGAAGAACACTCCCGGTCGAACTCAAATTGAAAGCTAAAGAGGACTGCTTCGTATATGAGATTTGTATTTGCAAACAAAATCCACTGTATTTAATGTAATGAAATTAAATAAGCCATTAAATTTTATTAATGACTTTGGTATAGATCAGAGACACATGGATCTAGTCGTTATACCTGTCTATTGTTTCTCGATGATAGCATTTATGCAATTCTCAAATAATGAATGCATGTTCTTGTAATTATATTGTAATTTGCCTTGGATATTATTGTGAAATCGATCAGACTGGAATAAAAAAAGACAGTAACCGGTCGATGAGGCGTCAACCAAAGAAGACAATAAAAATAAAATAAGACATCAAGAGGTCAACATACGGACTCGAGCAATAACGACAAGTTCTCATGACCTTTTGTCAAAACATACATTGTCCCGACCCTTGACATGTTCGGTATGATTAATAGAGGATTGTTTTTAAATGGCAATGATACCAACAATATAACTTCATGTAAACGAAATTCTTAATTCATTCGTTTTACAAAGTCGAAACATTTCTTTTTTTTTTCAAGCGAAACGGTCGCCTTGATAATGCTTTAGAGAGGAATTTTAATGACACCTTAAAAGTGTCTAAATATTGATTAAAAATAACACATTCCCACTTCTGTAATCCAGTACGGACCAGTTATCCCATAAAGTATATAATTTCGAAAATGAAGTGCATGATATATGGAAAAGTACTACAGATTTTAGGAATCTGTTTTTAAAAATGCGGCTTTTTGTACTAGATTAGTTCATTCCAATTGTGAAATTATTGGAGATTTTTGAATGCATGGAAAGTAAGAATGTGTATTTGTTGTCGACAGACACCCTTAAGCTTAAATTTTTTGCGAATTCATATAATCCTTGGTTTTTACCAATCGAATTAAGCATTTTCAAAAGACTTTGATCTTCGAACCAATAATGTTAAACGATCACTGTCTTAAATATATTAAATATTTCAGCCATGCAAGACCATAAAGCAAAGAACGACATTAAATGCTCATTTTCACATCTTATTACGTTCATTTACAAAGAAATGCACAATTTTCAATTGACAAACGGATTTGAAGTGTGTTTTGTAGATTATCTTTTTGTCTCCATAGATGTTCACTAGCTACAGTTGGTGTCAATTTTTTGTTTTTTTTTGCTTTAGATATCATCATTTGGTGTCGATCACGACAAACATGAAATACCTTTTCGAAATGTGCATATGGTGCAGAATATCATTTAGGTAGCTTGTAATTTGTGTTATGTTTATATATGTTCAAATATCGATATTTTAAAGTGTTCGTAATAATTCATGGAAAAAAGATGGAATCTTTTATCAAAAAGCAGATAACATAATAGTAGGTAAATTAATTGGAACTTTTGTTCACATATGGGCTCATCGCAAACTAGACTTTTTATGCAAGAGTTTTACCTTTAATCTATATATGATATTATTACAATACAATACATGTATATATACAAAATATGATGAACCAATAAGGTTGCATGAGTAAGATCATACTTTATCTGTTTGCAGGTGTGATTGTTAATGACTTTGCAGATGAAATTATTTTGGATCCAAAGCTAATCGCAAGACATTATATAAAAAGTTGGTTTTTCTTAGATTTGATAAGTTCCATTCCAATGGATTATATTTTCCTCTTGTGGGATGCAGAGGCAAACCAGCTGTTCCACGCAGGTACTGAAACCAGATTGGATGTCACTCCTTATTGGCAAGGTGATCATTCTCGTATTTACACGTAGATGTTCCTCAAGTCTTATGTATATTGAATTTTTGCTCACGTTACTTCACAAGCTATATTTTATTGTCATTTTCAAATAGTTGACCGTTCCCTTTATTTAGCATTAATGATTATCAATCAAAAAGCGCTTTAATTGTCCTAGAAAATAAATATCTGGCCTTTGTATTTGTTTCTTTATATTAGAATTAATTTATGTATCTGCAGAAATAAGAAAAACAAAAAACAGTGACATGTTTCCAATGTATTGACGCTTCTATAATGTTCTTTGCATTTCCTGAAATAAGTGTTTTGAATCCTTGTTTAAACAGAAGACGACCGTTCCACAAAAGTTGCATTCAAACTTACTTGCTACTATTTATCTCCCATTTTTATTTGCGTTTTATTGCTGGTGTGAGAATGGTCGCCTTGCAGGGAACGTATTATACATTCTACCTGCATGTTCATATTTTATTTATGTATCTATCTTTTATTCTTGATGTTGTTACTTGTATTATGTTCATGTTTTTGCTACTAGCTTTGTAAATAATTGTCTTCTTTCCGAAAACAATATTGTTTTAAAACTTTTGTCCTTATTTAATCTTTTCGTCGAAGTATTTTGTTCAGACGACGTTATATTAAACTCATTTGTGCGTTTGTTGAGCATAAAATCTACGTCAGGACGATGATCTAAAGGAAAATATATTAATTTAGATAATGTCCTTGTCACGGTTTGATAAATGTGAAACGATATGATACATACATGTGCTAAAAAAAGTTAAATCACAAAAATACTGAACTCCGAGGAAAATTCAAAACGGAAAGTCCCTACTCAAATGGCAAAATCAAAAGCACAAACACATCAAACGAATTGACAACTAAGATATAGTTGGATAATATATGTAAAAATACAGACGTATGCTTGAAAAGTATGAAGCGGGCTCAATGACCTGGTCAGTCCAAAGTTGCAGGTAGCAGTGTGAACATAAAACATTTAAATGACGTCAAAAATCAACGTACAGTCAAAGAATTTTTCTGGTATTGGAAATGATATGAATCGAAGCCATCGTTATATCAAATTATTTACCAAAACATAGTGTTCGGCGTCAGCCTAGTTTCACTTCGTTTCGTTTATCTTTAAATCAATTGAATATACAATATGGAAATGAAAATCTGTACCGGTGAATCATAAGCATAAAATGCAGAAATGCTGACAACAAAATGATGAAATGCCACGTTTTACACAATAACAATCTCTTGTGCAATACGCATATTGTGTCCATTTTTTGTCAGTTCAGATTTTATGAAAGAATGATGTAGTCAATTGTAAAGGTTAAAGGCCAGTATCTGAACAAAAGGAACTGATCAACTACAGGACTTGTGAGTTTTCAATCAGACAAATGCAAATACAAACTTTAAAAAAAAATAAGGCATCTATCGTGATCAAAATTATATGAATTTAAAGCTTTGAGCGTATATTTCTGTTTAATTGTACACCACATCTTTGTAAAATGTATTTATTTTATAGAAAGTTGTCTATTATGTCAGAGTGACTTAAATATAACAGTGTAATCATTGTTAAAGATATACGAAGCTCTTATGTTACTTATCTTTCGTATGAATTATTTCCAGAATTCATTTCAATATCTATTATTAACATCTGTTATCAAAATACATTTGTAACTACATATAGTATTGATATTCTTGGTATGCTTTTATGTTTAACACATAATTTAATGTGAAGAAACAAATTATTATTTTCTATTTTGATACTAGTAATTAATTGTTTTTTCTCCAATTTTCTAATACATATCAACAATTATTTTTCAGGGAGAGCCCTACGAATGTTACGATTAGCCAAACTGCTCAGTTTACTAAGATTGCTCAGGTTATCACGATTAGTAAGATATGTACAGCAATGGGAAGAGGTAAAATCACTTTCAATATATTAATGCACTATAATTGTTAATTATATCTAGTGAAAAGTGTCCTTTTATATTGAATTCTGTTCGACATGATATTATGATATTAATCAGCAACCTCTATCTTTATTGCAGATATATTGTATATAACATATTATACATACTATGTATTCCCATTGTTCAGAAGATATTTCAAATCATCCATTTTGTGGTATGCAATAAGTTCTGAAACTGCAAGCCTTCTAAGTTCCTTACACTAAACTAAACACACATTACCCAGATTCTTAAAATAATCCTGTGAGTAAAAGTGGTTTTTTTATTAATTATACTGAGTGCCAATAGAAACCCAACTCGAACATGCATTTCCGTTAATGGAAATTCAAACCGACAGATATTCTTTGGAATTTGACCAATTGTTCTACGATTTTTAAGACTTCTTATGATATGCATGATGCAGAAATTTTCAAGCAATTTTATTAGATTGTAAGGTTCACAAATTCAACATTTTAAACCAAAAAATCGAAATTTACACTTGGATAGCAAATTTCCACATTATATTCCTTAATAGCAATATCAAAAAGGAATACAAATTATCAATTTTCCTTTGCATTTGTTCCAGTGTAATGGAAAGCCGATTATATGATCAAAAGTTAAAGTAGCATGTACCCAAAGGTTGAGAAATCAACTGCAAGAACATTTTTGTATTGTTATTTCAAAGGGACTAAATTGGATTGGGATATGATGTATTGCGTTTCTATATGCACTCAGTATATGTTAATATGTGTGTGGTGTGCTCTATATAATAATTGACAGACATATCAGACTGATAAACAAAATTGGTTAAGCACTTGATGTAACGTCAAGAAAAAGCTATCCAGTTCTTGTATTTTCCCCATTTCAACAAGAACATCTGAATGGGATTTCATGGCGGCAGTAATTACAAAAATTTCCGAAAGGTTTTTAACAGGGATAATTATTGTGTATTGGTGAAAATGACGCCTGGATATGTATATTTATTCTTTATTTATCATATTCAAAAAGTCAGATCAGTATTATACGCTATATCTATGAATCAGTTTTTTGTTTTGTGGTACAATCCTTCCCTTGTCACATTGCATGTATATACATAAACGTAAGCGTTAATGGCAATATACATGTACATTAATTTATTTATTTTTTTATATCATAACAGAAGTTATACATTGCACAAGTCATATATATTTGCCGCATAAATAGCGTTATTAATATTATATATATATATATCATATGTATCTCATTACAATCATTAGAAATCATTAAAAATGATATTATGAACATTTCAGTACTGGTTTGAAAACTCTCTCTCTCTCTCTCTCCATATTTATCAAATGTGTTTGAGTTGTTAATCCATCGGCTAATTTTTCAATACGCTTGAATTCTCAATCTTGAATCTCGATATCAGTATGATGTTTTACGCTGCATGCCGATAAATAGCATTCAATTATATTTTTTTTTTATAAATTAACACATTTGCACATTAAAAAGTCATTCGCTGCTGAATAGCATTAAACAGCCTTTTTAACGGTTTCTTAGCTTTTTGCTCATTTGATTGATTTGCAACCATAATTCTAACACAGTTCATTGAGTCATCATTCTAAATACTGGCGTCAAAGATAAACTCCAGAAAAAAGCTGTATACTACTGGAGTTCTTAGTTTCTAGGACATATTCTGACTTAGCAATATGAACCACACATCAGCATTGTTCTATTATATTCAATTCATACTGAAACCACAATCATAAGTATTAAAACCAGATATAGTTACAAGTGGCCAGTTCAATTAAAATTTTATCAGGAGACATTTTATGAATTTTATATCGTCATGTTTAACAATTATTAGATACTGAAACCAATTTTGTTCTAAGGAAACAGTTTGCTTCAGATGAGGATTACGTTAAGGACATTACTTAAAGGTCTTGATATTTTTTTTGTTGTACCTTAAAACTGTCAGGTTATTTAAAAAAAGTTTTACAGATTCAAAAAAAGCTGAACCTATAATTATTTTTAGTCAATGTGATAAAAGGCAAACATTTTGTGATTAACTGGGTTTTAATTGTAATGTGCATGTGCAGAAGTAATTTATCAAAAGTTTCTGACAAATTAATTCAATTCAAACAATTTATTAATCTATATAATATTCAGCTTAACTCTTATTTATTTTACATGAAAATTTGATTATACCTAAATATTTGTCTTAAAATGAGAATTAAACAATTTAACAAAATGTAATTTTTCTCACACACAATAAATAAGTACAATGAAAAGACATTGGTCTCCTCTTAAACTGAAAACAAACAATAAAGTAAAGTATATATTAACTCAATTTGCATATAGTATATTGAGTTTGCACATTTGTAAAAAATTACTAAAATTCCTCACCACGTTCTGAGAATGTTATTTACCCATTGTAAAATGTAGGTATTTATTTTTCAATCAGTTTGAGGCCTGTCCTTGTTTGACAAAATGCGGACGTCGCAGGCGACCTGGGGTGAGTTGTCATCTGAAAAGTGATTGAACAATTATTTTGAGGTGATTTTAGCACATGACACTATGCTTTCTAGATGCACGATATTTTAGAATGTTTAGATTATAAGTTTTAGCGGTAGATTTTATATAAAGCAATATTTTCTTTATTTAATTATTTTGCATCAATCATATCTTTAGTTGATTCATCATAGAAGATCTCTCAATTATTTTGAACAAAAACGAAGAAAAATCCATTCCCGTCGAAATATTGAATTTTCCGGTGACACTCTGATGGAACTAGCCTGCGGCGTAAGCTGTGTCAGATTCTTTATTCCTTATTTCTGTGTCAGAATAAGTTACGGAAACAAGTTTCAAACAGTATTTTAGAAAAGTGAATGTAGACTTTTGTTTGCCTTGCAGTAAAAAGTGGTTTTTGCTGACTGCTTAAAAGCTACTATTAGTGCACTGCTTGATTTTAGATCAGTTTTATCAATATCATCAATGTTAATGGTATAAAACCTGCACAACAAATGTATTATAGCAATATTTTAAATTATGCTTTGTTTAACAATACGCCGAATTTATACCGAGTAAAAGCTGAATATGAGTTAGGAAGTTTATCTTTTGAACTTCAGTGGCAAACAAAAGTCTTTGGAAATTCAATATCTTATCCATATGTCTAAATAAGAGTAGTTTATCATATTCATTATCATAATTATTATAATTTTCATTTTTATACATGCAGCGAGTTCGACTGGTATGAAAACATTCACTTTTCTAATTGTTAAAAGTCTCAAAATGATGGATTCATCTGTGAATATAAACATTTATTTGTTGTTAGGTGTTGTGGTAAAAAGAAATGATACATCAGGAATCAGCAATTTTCAACATGAACAAAATGTATGGTAACATTATATTGAGACTTTCAAATTAACATATATGTTATCAGTTAAAATCATGCATGTCACCTTTGTAATATAGTGTACTGTGTACAGAATAGAAGAACGCATGAAAAATGTTCAGTACAGAAAAAAACGTAGAAAAGTAACAATATATTGCATATTAGAGTAAACAATAAGGGGAATTGTCGAAAAATTTGCTCAGTAATGAAGGATATTCCATAGCTCATGTTTTAATTTCTAGATATTTATTGTAAATTGTGGCAATATGCCCTGGGGTCATCAAATCATATACGCTTTATTTTACTTATTTCTGCTTATTTCATTGCTGTTTTGCATCAGTTACACATTGTTAACTCAATGTCACTTAATGTCTGCTTTTAACTTAGCTTCATAATTATTTGCATGAATAGCGACTATTTTGGCGATCTCACTTACTACAATTTATTGATGCATAAATGTAGTTGAACATTTTAAATGAACTTGAAAATATTTCAATCGAATTTATCGAACTTTTTTCTCGCCCTTATTTTTGGGTCAATTTTCTTATTCAATGTTGGAAAATTCTTATATTTCTTAATTTGTTATTTCATGTTTTGCAGTTTCTTGCACTAGCCGGAAAATTTATGAGGATTTTTAATCTAATTTGCCTAATGTTTTTACTTGGACATTGGAATGGATGTCTACAGTTTTTAGTTCCAATGTTACAAGACTATCCCAAAGATAGTTGGGTGTCCATTGAGGAGCTGAAGGTTTGTACTTTATTATTCATTTTCTTTCTATGTCAGTTTGTTGATATTTAAGCTTGTGATTTACTGGAAATATGATTCTTTAAATTTATGTATATCAACAATATTGCTGATACATAGCAACACATTTTACATTGTATCTCAAATCCTCCAATGTTGTAAAGTTTCTTTTTGATGAATATGTCTCTTCTTATCTTGCATTTTTTGTCAGTTGTTGTATACAACTCGTAGTATTCAAAGAAATGTATCGCTACTATGGTGGAAAGAAGAAAACCGTTTCGAAACGGCCAAATTTGTCAGGTCTTATGCTATTTATGTTCATATGTTCCTTGTCAGCTATTACATTTGTGTAGATATATTCTCCATATACATACTTTTTCTTACAACTTCTTAACTTTATTTACCCAATACAATATCGATGTCTATCTAGATCGACTCAAGATCAAAGAGATATAGTAAATTAACGACCCCCTTATAATCAACTGTCATCGTAAGAAAATTACATTTGAAAATTATTAGTACACTATTGGAGGAGAATATTGAAAGGAACCAACCGGAAATTGTAATACGACAAAAAACAAAGTGTCAGAAATCTATCATAGGAGAAAAACCGCCATACAAACTTCCTTAAACCGATAGTAATACTAGTTGCACATCAACGAATGAGGAATTGGTTATTGCTGAAGTGAAATAATACATAACCTTTCATTCCATTGGTATCTTTCACCTCTTTTATATATGATTGAGGGGCCGTTATCATTTTAAATCGTCTAACCATCGAAAGAAAAAACTATTTTAATTGAATTAGTGACTATATCACACCTGTATACCTTGCTGCTTAAACATTTAGAATGTGAATATATCATCTGTCCAAAAAAATAGAATTTATGACGGCCACGTTGAAATTGTCTCTTTTGTCGTATATATTTTATTGATTTATTACGGTTATTTGACTAAGCAAATTGATAAGACAATTTTCTGGATTATGTCTCCCTGAGGCATAAAGTGTTGTTATTTTTGGTATTTCAATTCTTATTAAGTAATCTTGATCCAATGGATCTACTCGTTTAGTATATAATTACCTTATGGAAAATGTGTTATCCTATATAGATATGTTTATCGTTAACCTCTATTATCTAAGTGCGGTTAGAATACAGTTCTTTGAACCCTGATTGTAATTTTCCAGGAGAGTTTTATTGCATTTTTTGGCTCAATTTTTTGCCAAATCCACATAAATTTTATCTACTTTATTTGCTACCTTAGCAGGATCTGCTTACCCTTCCGGAGCACCTGAGATCACCCCAGTTTTGGTGGGGTTCGTGTTGTTCAGGCTTTAGTTGTCTATGTTGTGTTTTGTATACTGTTGTTTGTCTGACAGTCTTTTTCTTTTATAGACATGGCGTTGTCAGTTTATTTTTGACTTATGAGTTTGAATGTTCCTTTAGTATCTTTCGCCACTAGCATTATAATTCGAAAATTTATCTGTTTTATACAGTAAAGTAATGCGTTTTCAATTGTAAACAGTTAGTAATGCGTAAAAAGTGTCAGCATTTCAATTTTGAGGAATACAACCAAATTTCGGGAAATGCAAGTGCGTGAGCAAAAACGTTCAAATATAATTTGTCAAAGAAGTCAGGTTAAACAAATATTTTTTGAACAAAAATTGCCTAGAGATTGTCATATAGTAGTTTTTGTAAGGTAAATTGTATTAAAAAACCGAACCCCAACGGAAATTCAAAAAAGGGCAAGTCCATAAAAAACTGACAAAATCAAACGTTAGACTTTATCAACCATCGGAACGAATGGAAAACAACTGTCATATTCTTGACTTGGGGAAATTTTATATCTATTTGGAGAATATTGCTTGATTGCAACGAAAACAGCATCGTAATAGATAATTCAAGGTGTGATTTAGATTGCATATCAGTTGAATACGATATTTTCATTCAATTCCAAGACTTTTTCGTTATTATTATTATTTACTTTTGTTGGGTTTTTTTCTTGGTATGAATAAACAGACGTTCAATGTGTTGGTGTGTTTGAAATATGTTCAGTAAAAAATACATTCACAGCGGTTATTCTATATATCTAAGTCAGAACAAACTATATGCATTTTTATCAAGAAGCACACGAAACGTATTTTACTTTGTCTGCTATTTATATTAATAACTCTTTAGTTGCGTCAACTTTGCATGTTCATTAAGTGTCCGATGTGAACATAAATAGAAAACAACTTTTAATATTCCAATTTAATCTTTCTTTAAAATACAAAAACATAGATGTGTTTCGAATTGAATAACATGAAACTGCCTATTGGCATGTGCAAACATGTAGTTAAAGCTACAATTCATGAAACATAATTTCTTATTGATGGAACTCAGATGAATTATATATAAGGAAAACAAAATAAGTACCATTTGACATGATGCAGCATGTTATAACATTATGACGTCAAAAGATCATGTTATAGCTTGGATTGTTTTTTTTTTTTAATTTCAGGACGCTCCGTGGTGGACACAGTACACGTGGGCGTTATTTAAAGCTCTTTCACACATGCTATGCATAGGATATGGAAGATTTCCACCTCAAAACTTGACAGACACTTGGCTAACTATTTTGAGTATGCTAAGTGGCGCCACCTGCTATGCACTATTTTTAGGTCATACAACTACTATCATACAGTCTTTTGATACATCGAGACGACTTTATAACGAGAAGGTATTAAACACTATAATGTAGAATATCTTAGTACTTTTATGTGTTTTTATTCTCTCATCTTCTAAACGCAATACTTTCAAATCTTTCAAAACTAGAATAATATGGATATTAAAAGATGATTATAAAATATGACAGCTGAAACGCATGTGCAACATAACAATTTTGAGACAGTTTTCCGTTTTTATTGTTGACTACACATTTGTATGGTTACTATGGATCTTTACTATATATATATAATATGTATTCTTTTACTGTGGGGAATAATACTGAATCAGATATGAGATGACTACAACGTTTCTTCAGACTAAAACACGATCGTTAAAATTGAAGTGTCATTGTTTCACATGGACAAAAATTAATTAGGCTTCTCTGTTTCTTGAAAGACGATTTTCACTCGAATATACTTTGTATTATTTAAATAATTATTATCAAAATCTAATTTCGTTTTCAGTAGGCTGCATGTCATACTAATGACGGATTACTAAGTCTTTAGTTTTCTATGTTGTGTTTTGTGTACTGTTGTTTGTCTTTTGGTCTTTTTGCCATGGCGTTGTCAGTTTATTTTCGACTCATGAGTGTGAATGTCCCTTTGGTACCTTTCGCCTCTCTTTTACACGAAACCGATATAAAGTATGTAAAATGTCATTGGTCATTCATTCCTTTGAAAGTATGACATTACCAAAATGCTACTTATCCCCGAATTATCACTTGACATGAGCAACACGACTGTTGCCACTAGTGGAGCAGGATCTGCTTACCCTTCTCGAGCACTTGAGATCACAAAAAATCACATACGGTTTTTGGTTGGGTTAGTGTTATCCATTCTAATGTTAAGTAGACAGTTGTTTAATTTTTATTTGCCCAAATTGGTATCTTCTATCTCTTTTTGTAATAGATTGAGTAGATATCTTACTTTATTCCGACGGGAAACAATAGTGCTCCTCTTTTCTCCGACTTGTATCTATTCATTTGAGGCAGAAGTCATACAGGAGCTTCTCCGGGAGAATGAAATTTTAACAAGTTCTTCTATATAGATTGTGCACTCTAATTTAATGATTCAAAGTTTTGTGACTATGTTAACGCCTCTATCACATTGAATTTAAATAAGGGGATATATCAGATATAGTTAGTCTTCCTCATATTTTGACTTACATCTAAAAATTGACGATTATAGGTCAGTTGAGAGCAAAACGTTACGACAAACGGGATGATTTCAGCTGCCCAGTTATGAATTTCCATTTCTATGTAACAAGATTCAAGCATTACCTTCATATGAAGTATATCTCTCTCAGTTGAAACGATATTCCAGAGATTGCATTTCCTATCATGACTACATTGATAGAAGAATGCTGCATACAAGGCAGTTATTGAACCAAGGGGGTCAAAGTGGTATAGTTGAAGTTGTCCTTTGGAAAGTAGCCAACTTGAGTTGATTGACCCTTATGAAATATAAGTGTCACAGAAGATCACGGATATTTTTCAGTTGTTGTAACCCAAAATCCAATCCTCTCTTCCTCGATTGTGACATCAGTGGATTATTCTTATCTCAAAGTTTGTACTTACCATGAGCAAAATGATGAGTGCCACATGTGAAGCAGGATCTGCTTACCCTTCTGGAGCAACTGAGATCACCTTAGATTTTTGGTGGGATTTTTTATGCTCAATCTTTAGTTTTATATAAAGTGGTGTGTTGACTATAATTTCTCTCGTCTCCGTTTTTCGTTTTTTGCCAGGATGTTGTTAGTTTGTCTACGACTTTAAAAATCCCTTTGTATATTCCACCTCTTTATTTTTCAATATATGAAATTAAGAAAGTGGTGTGTGAAACAACTAACCCCAAGGCTTGTTGGTGACCGCGATAAATAATGAAAATAAACTTTCATGAAAATCCATGATAAATATTCAATAATTTATACTCTAACAAATGTATATGTAAGTCCATCTTGTTAGTGTTTCTGCGTCCGAAGCACATTTCTGGGCCCACCAGTTTAAAAATCATAAGATGTATAAATTGAACATATACAACGACCAAAACACCGTGCTTGACAGTATAACCAAAACCATGGCAAGTCAACTGAGAAGCATTTCATTCTTATTAAAAATTCTAAAACGTTCATCATACAATTTTTAATATCACGACCAGTGTAGAAGCGCTTACAATTCTTGGAGACGAACAGTCACAATCAATAGTGTCCACCGAGTGGTGACAAAGAAAAGTCAAACTCATGAAGTTTGATGCGTTTCATATCCCTTTTTAATTCCACTGATCGAGATTAGAAAAAAAAACCAGAACGAATAGTAAGTATTTTAAAACTGACCGACATCATGTAAAAGGTAAAAAAATGCGCCTAGCCAAAATCAAGAACCTTGTTTATCCATATCTTGATATTTTTTTCATTTAAGGAATTTAATGTACAAGTTTTCGGTAGTTGTCACAACTATTCTATACTCGGTCGATTTAAAGCGGGAAATATTGTATGCATACGCATCCATTGTTGAAAAGAAGATATATAGATACTTCATTTCTAGAAACATATACAAACAACCTTCAAGTTGTCTTTTAGATTTCAAAACTTTTTTTCCCCAAAATTAATGGCCATTACAGATATATATGTATATATAGGCAATTCTGAACTCAAACGAATCCAATTCATTAGTGATCACCATATCTAAATTACTAAAACTTGCAATTATACTTGATAATAGAATTAGTACACCCACGTTAAACGTTTTTACCCAAGCCTGATAGGATATCGGAAATGATTTCCTTCATATTGACCATACAAAAACATGAATAAAACGATTACTACACTGTGTAAATCATCGGTTATCATTTAAAGCGTCGTGGAGATTTACATGTAAAGATATATATGGTTCTTAGTAAAGAATGGACGTAATTCGAAACAGTTTGATTGATTGATTTACGTCATCGTTGAATATTTGAAGTAAAGTCAGCAAGTGGTTTTTATTTCGAATAAAATTTACTATTCAATTTTAGTATTTTTTATTATCTATCTTTGATTTGATATGTTCTTTTACAAAACGTTCAATACACGTTTAAACGACACACTCTACAAATCTCAATTACTCCCACAATACTTCATATTTAGAGTAGCTATGAATACAGTATATACCTACATATAAACAATTCTCAATTCATTTCATTTGTTAATATATTTTTACTGTCTTTCGTTGAAACAGCCTGAAACAATTGGTCGGGATTTCACACAAAATAATAATATAACGTCATACATCGTATTTGTATATATCAAAAATATAGAAAGAAAAACATTTTGAGAGGCATAAATCATTGTTATTTATTAAATTGTTATATTTATGAAAGAGTAAGCGATATTTAATATTATGAGGTGTTTGAAGCGATATGAATTGTGTACTTGTAATTGTTGCCACCTGTGCTTATATTAAATGAAATCGATATCGAATAACTTTCTATAATACAACATATACGGGAAGAATAATTCTGAAATGGATATCATTGCAAGACGTGCATTACGGTATTAAGCAATTGTAATTAGAAAAAAAAGTAATTCACATAAATAAATAAACTCATCATAGAAACCGGGCTTAAAATTTTTTACACCAGACACGCGTTTGGTCTACAAAAGACTCGTCAGTGACTCTCGAATCAAAAAGTTAAAACACCGAATAAAGTATGAAGTTGAAGAGCATGAAGGACCGAAAATTCCGAAAATTTTTGCAAAATACAGCTACGATAATAAAGTGTTACTTTCATCTAAATACAGCTACGATAATAAAGTGTTACTTTCATCTAAATACAGCTACGATAATAAAGTGTTACTTTCATTTTAGACATTTGACTATGTTTGAATATGGTTTTTGAAGCTTCTGTTGAATGCCATACATTTGTACATTAACAGACACATGATAATGTCTAAAACTATTTTGTTTTATGTAAATAAACTGAACATTTGTTGTAATGCCCAACCTTTGATTAAGTAAGACTAATTATATCATCTTTAATATTTCAGTTTAAACAAGTAGAAGAATACATGATATTTAGAAAGTTGCCACATAGTCTTAGACAAAGAATTTCTGAATATTATGAACATAGATTCCAAGGGAAAATGTTCGATGAAGAGTACATCTTAACTGAACTTAATTCGTGTCTACGACAGGTAATATTTTGTTTTTTTGTATATTCGTCTGCAGAAATGTACCTTACCGCTATGTGTCGGCCATTACAGGTCATCACGGAAGTGCAATAAAGTGTGACGTCACGAGGTAAAAATGTTTTACTGAAAAAAGCAAAATGGTACGACCTCCATTGTCGCAAAATCTCAGGTGAAGTATATCAGAATTCAAAGATGCGATATACAAACGGTTTACACGATAAACTACATGAAACAAAGTCATATATATATTATAATGCTTCCTTTAATTTCTGACGTTTACTAATTTTCACATGCTGCAATAACTGTACAAGTGAGATAACTTGTTTTGTCATTTTCATCAGTTTTGTAATTGGAAATTTATTATGGTTTCTCCAAATAAGCCAGCATATAGATTACGTTTTGGCATTACACAATAACATTTGTTTTTCTTTTTGCTTTTCGTTTTATCGTATGGTGGTGATAGATGGATCTGATTCCTTAGTTCATTGTTAGATTTAAGAACCTATAATAATTACTCTGAAGAAATGCCGAATTTAAACATCAGTTGGTTCGATACAATCAGTTTCGAATACAAGCACAGTCAAACGCTAAAAGTTTAAAAACAAATGCAAAATCATATTGTTTTGTAACAACGCAGAACAATATTCAAAATTCCTCATTGTTATTTTTCTGTCGGTTTTTTGTTAAATTGTTTGGATTATATTGATGATAAATATTCCTTGCACGAAATATTACAAGTTCAGTATTATTTTACAGGATATAATCAACCATAACTGTAGAGCTTTAGTAAAGTCTGTTCCATTTTTCACAAATGCGGATCCACAATTTGTGTCGGAGGTGATAAGTAAGCTGAAATTCGAGGTCTTTCAACCAGGGAATTTTATAATTAGAGAGGGGACTATGGGAACAAAAATGTATTTTATACAAGAAGGAATTGTTGATATTATAACAAAAGACGGAGAAGTAGCAACTTCTTTATCAGACGGGTCATATTTTGGAGGTAAGTAATTGTGTTCAATGAATAATAATAGGAATGTATTGTGTGCTTGTGACAAGTGGCATAAAATTATGCTTAGTTTCTTTTGTTACCTATTTTGACATCGGACTCGGACTTCTTTTAAACTGAGTTTTACTGTGCGTATTGCTGTGCGTTTGTTTATTCTACATTGGCTAGAGGTATAGGGGAGGGTTGAGATCTCACAAAACATGTTTAACCCCGCCGCATTTTTGCGCCTGTCCAAAGTCAGGAGCCTCTGGCCTTTGTTAGTCTTGTATATTTTTTAATTTTAGTTCATTTATATATTTTGGAGTTTAGTGTGACGTCCATTTTCATCGAACTATAGCAAGTACACATTTTTATTTAGGGGCCAGCTGAAGCCCACCTCCGGTTGCGAGATTTTCTCGCTGTGTTGAAAACCCATTGGTGGCCTTCGGCTATTTTCTGCTCTTTGGTCGGGTTGGTGTCTCTTTGACACAATCCCCATTTCCATTCTCAATTTTATGGTTTTTACTCGTAATTTTATTATTGTCTTTTAAATCAGATGGAAAATATATTTAATTTATTATTTTCCTTATCATCTGTGTTTTATATGAATATATATTTTTAGTTGTGTCTAATAAATAATCGTTCCGCAAAATTTTTTTCGTTTTTTGAAGAATAAAACCAACGATAAGGTTTACCTTGAAAGGCAACATGGGACAGTTTGAAACTTAAATTGTATGAATTTGATGTTATTTATAAATCCTATTTGGAACTGAATTTAAAAAAAATGGGTAAAGTTATTCACACAAATGAAACAACACTAAACAACATGTTTTTAATTAAAAGGTTTCTTGTTATAAAGAAACTCATCATAGATACCAGAATTAAAATTGTGTATGCCATACGTGCGTTTCGTCTACAAAAGACTCATCGGTGACGCTCGAATCAAAAACGTTATAAAGGCCAAATAAAGTACGAGAATATTGTTACCGGACATTAGAACCCCAAATTTGATCTTCCACAGTTCTCGTGTCTTGGAACTATGTTAATGAGAATTTATGGATTTACCTTCATCGTGATGTGACCGTTTCAAATTTACAAAATGTACACAAAGCGCTTATTGTATCAAATGGAAAAAACTACAATTAAAGGCAAATAAATAATTAGAATTAAGATACACGCTGACAAGCACTTGTTCATTACTTAACTGATTTATACATGACCTTAATTTTTTTTAGAAATATGTCTACTGACGAATGCAAAACGTGTAGCAAGTGTTCGAGCAGAAACATATGTGAATTTATATTCTTTGTCTGTTGGACATTTCAACGATGTACTCGATAGATATCCAGTAATGAGACGAACAATGGAAAGTGTAGCTGCAGAGCGGCTGACTAAAATAGGGCAAAACCCAAGTATTGTCAGTAGTAGGGCAGATCTCGAGGAAGATCAAAAACTTGTTAACGAACTTGTCATGGAGTCAACTCCAGTAGTAACGAGTGCAAGTGAAGACGAAGATAAAGACTCAGACGATAGCTCTGAAAGTTCAAAAAGCTCGAAAAGGAAAAAGAAATTCAAATTTGATTTTACGGGAAAATTGCATAAAATTACAGAGGAAAGAAAATCAAAGTCAAGAGAAAGCTTAAAGGATGTATGTGACTCTGAAAATAAAGTCAGAATGAGAAAAGCACCGTCTGGTTCTAACTTATTTGGACTGAGGGTCCCTAGACTTCAACTAAAGCATCGTTCTGGAAGTGTGGGTGCAAATTTAAATGCTTTATCTTCAGTTCAAGAATCAAGCCTGGAAACTTGTCGGAGACCAAGCTTTCTAAATACGAAATTTTTTAAAACAGGTAGATCACGTGAAAAGACTAAATCTACTGGAGAAGATTCACCATCGTCGGAAGGTCATGGTAGTCTCAAGCAATATTTAAATGTTCCTATGTATTGTAAATCCAAGTCAAAATCGACTAACGATAATTCATTATCAAGTGTCTGTGATAGTTTAAGTAAGGAAGATCCTAAAACACCGCAACCTAAATTAAATATTCCTCCTGTTGATTCACCAGTCATATCGTCTAGTGAAGATATTCCTACTGCTACGACACCATTGGTAACGGTTGCTGTGAGTGATCAGGAATATGCCAAAAAATCCGAACAGAAGTCTCCTCCAAAGGCTAGCATAAGTAAAGATAATGCAAAGAATGTAATTCCGTCAAGTCCGCCAAAACCGGACCATTTAACGATAGACATTGATGACTGTGATACAATTTCCCAGAATTCCTTCCTTTGATGATAATGTTCCTTAGTTCGTTATTTTATTATTTTCATGGTATTTTTAATCTGTTTTAGCGACAGTTGAAGTTTCTGTTTATGAAGTATTTGATTGATGAATGAAGGTCAGGATGGGGTTTACAGAATAAAGAATAATGGATAAAAAGTGCAGAACAAAGGGCAAAAGTATAAAAAAAATTAGACAAAAATAAAGAAAAGAGAATAATGGTGTTCTAAAATATAAAAATTAGAAAAGAAGGGTCAAAATAGAAAATAGAGCAAAATGCTCGAAAAAGTTGAACGATTAAAGAAATGAAGTACCCCCCATCCAGACCATCATTTAAATACGTATTTTCCTGCTATTTCTCCATACATTTTAATTTAATTACAGTTTGTGAAGTGTTACTATTTTGAACAGTATATAGTTCGAATTTTTTAGCCTCTTGAAATGCGTTAATCTCATATTTATTTAAATCAAGTATATTAACAGAGCAATTTTTCAGGCAGGAACGAATTTCCGGCATAAAGTTAAAAGTAAATTTCGTCCCGAAATAGCTTATTGCTTATTAAGTTGATATCCATAGTGTTTTAAAAGTGATATCAAAAATGAATTATATCAGTTCTCCTGATGTGGTTTTCTCCACTGTTCGGCATATCATTTCTAAACACAGGAAGTTAGAGACAGACATTGGTCGCACGGTCAATCATATGAACCAATCAAGTTGCCTTTACATGTACTCCTCGTGACAGTATAAACATGTCTGTAGATATTATTAAGTATAACTTATTAATGCATGTTATACTTTGGAACAAATTCTACCCTGCAGTGTTCAATTTCTTACCACTAAGAATCATTTTAGTTCACGAATGAACTCTTGTGGAAGCTGTAATAGAATAAAAAACAAAGAGATGTTGGGTATACACTGATTAGACAATTTCCCAACGAATAAAAAGAGGCAGCTACAGGTAAACACGTGGTCTTCAACAACAGACAAGTGCCAAAACAATAATTCAAGCTCTGAATGGTTCTGACGCAAGGAAAGTCGTGAATATATAAAATACAGACTTTTGAAAATAGTCAAAAGTACAGACAAACAATTAACAAGGTTCCTGACTTGTGACCTACACTTGAATATGTAGCTTGTTTTCTTTTTCTGTAAATTGAAGTTTAAGATTTTTAACATGCTCGCATAGCATATTAAATTCCTAATTCGTTATACCGTGTACCATTCAGGATACAACTATTCTATCTAATATTGAAAAGATATCCATCTGTGAGTCACGTGACAATCTGATTGACATACATATCCTGTGTTTACGCTACGCTAACGAGAACCCCCCTTGTTAGCAAAGTGTGGATATGGGCTCTGTATTTTAATCAGATTGCTCACATGATCAAAATGTTGCATTTCCTCTTTGTATTTATCAACGAAAGGTTGGGGAACGACTGATCAACAAAACTGCTTTTACTAACTAGAATATGCTTACTGTTTTCGGAGCACAAGATATCACTTCCGGTTGTAGTGATACGTTAGTATTGCCAAAATTCATGTTTAATATAAACCTGTATTGTTGATTTTGATTTATCCTAAAAGTCTGTTGTCTGTCCTCTGGATTCAGGCATTTATTTCTCATATTTAACAATGATATAACAAATGTTCTATTTATACTTAAAATTTTATAAACAAAAGTTTCCAAGGGCTTTCATTTCCTTTTAATCTACAAATTGTGATAGATGCTTTTTCTCGAATTTTCATTTGCATGTATAGTATACGTGTGTAGTTTTATCATGAAGTTTTTGTTTGTGCATTTTTTGTATTGCACATCTTACTTGCATAATGTATAAAAATCATTCAGGTATGATTGATGGTTTTAGTGCCAAAGTTTTTTATGTTCGTTATAAAACAACGAATAAGACAACTAGTGAATTATGGTGGTTGAACGTTTAGTTGTAGTTTTTTCTGTTCCTTATTGGTTATTTACTGTTAATGGTGGTTGCTAATGCCACCCCAGTAATAACACCTTGGGTAAATTCAAGTGATGTCCATGAAGCATTATTATAAAAATATTTTATGGTTTTTTTGAGTATTTTTGTCAGATTGCGTTTTTTTTTTAAGTTTAATATGTTCCTATGTAGTCTTGCATTCAGAAAAATGTCAAACATACATGAATGATAGCTAAAAAACGGTGTACATGACATTTTGTTTCAATGACAAGTGGACATGCAAACGCTGTAAATCGAGAATCATTTTGACAGACAATTAAACTTTTTTTTTCATTCCAATATCATTCCGTTTGACAGTGTGTTCGTTTTGTGAAGACAATTTCTCTGTGAATTAATGTATTTTTTTTGTATTGAACTGCGACATTTTTCACCTTCAAAAGTAAAGAATTGAACAGACATCTTTAAAAATGTTGGAACTTTTTTTATAGTCTGTCATAATTGATTGCATATTATATTTTGTTTCTATTGTAAAAATGCAAAGTTTTGTTAAACGTTTTATTTTTGTAGCAACATGACACGTGATATGCAATTTCAAAAATTTAAAGAATAAATTATCAATTAACAAACAAACACGTATTTTTCACTGTATGATCGAGTTATTTCAACTGTAAAGGTACATCTATGTAGTAGAAAATTTCTAATATGCAATATTGTGTTTCATGACTAACTATTGCGATTTGTCTTGCTAAAACAATAAATAGACAAAAGGAGTTAATAGGGAAAACGACAATGAGACATCAACCAAACATTACAAACAAATCAAAAGACACCCAGAGGTCACCATATGGTATTCCAGAAAAGACAGGTGTTTATACAATATGAAAAGCTCTAAATCGTCTAGTAAAATGAGAGGTAATTTAATAGAGACTATCAAATGTCTAAAATCAGAATTGAATTCCCTTAAAATGACATAGTACACACAAATTAGCGACAAATGACAACCACTAATCAAAGAGACCAGGCTTATAATTTTGTATGCAAAACGCGAGTTTCGTTAACAAAAGACTCGCCAGTGACGTTCGAATCAAAAAAGTTAAAGGGCCAAAATGATAATGTGGCGGGGGGTTGAATTATTACTATTTTTTATATTACAAACTCCCTATAGTTTCAATCTTCAGGACTGGCAAAAACCACAGCAAAGAACAAATAATAAGAATCAGTACAGGAAAAATACTTAACTCTTAATGGTATTATAGATAACAAAAGACAAGACTGCTCGCTGTTCTTTTGTATTCAGATAATTTTTTTTATCTGACAGTTTTTTAGTTGAGATTATGCTATGCAATTATATGAAAAATGAATTAGGCTCATATCGGTATTCATCGTGGTTGTTCAACGCCCAGTAGCAATAGCTAATACAAGATAAATGCATAGACATAATTACAATTGTCGATAAATCTATTGAATATAAGATATGCATACCTTTTACCAGAAAAAAAATCATATATTTGTGAAGAAGTTAGTTCGGAATTGATAAGTAAAACAAGCAAATTTCCATTATAATGTCAAAATACTCGCTTTTTAAGGTTAACTAAAGAAGTCATTGATGGCAAGACGAAAACGTTTTTGATTATCTCTACCTTTAATCATGTAACTATATATGCCTTACAAAAGAGACGATATGATTTTTGGACAAATAATTAATTGGTCTATCATATCAAATATATTTCAAACTTTCTCTGATTTCAGAATTAAATACTGTATCTATATACTTTTAAAAACACATCGCAATTTTTATTTAAAATATACCTTTTTCATTGGATATACAGCTATCGAATTACAATTAATATCGAAATTACGAACGTTTGACTATTTATAATTCGTATATTCTTAAAGATAATGTATAGAGCACACACATTAAATATCCTGAAACAGTAAGTGTATTTTGTGTTTATATATTCATTTACAAAACTATTTTTGGCGACTCTTGTGATCTTTGTTTTTTTAGCTAAGGTGATATTAAAATCAACTCAAGTTTTGTACAAATAAAAAAAAAACCTCGCTTATGACTTCCCATTAATGATAATCTTTATTGTTTTAAATCATATAAAATAAAGCTTGTGACAAACAAAATACAAATTACAACATACATGTATATACAACAAATCTTATAACAATCAGTTAAACAAGAGTCCGTTGTCCTCAGTTCCATTTTCTCGAATGTGACCTACCGAATTAGACTTATTACCGGATTTGTACTAACATGAGCAACACGACGGGTGTCACATGTGGAGCCGGATCTGCTTATCCTTCCGGAGCACCTGAGATCTCCCCCAGTTTTTGGTGGGGTTCGTGTTGCTCAGTCTTTAGTTTTCTATGGTGTGTTTTGTGAACTATTGTTTGTCTGTTGGTCTTTTTCTTTTTTAGCCATGGCGTTGTCAGTCTATTTTCGACATGAGTTTGAATGTCCCTTTGATATCTTTCGCCTCTCTTTTTGAAAAGGAACCTAGACTTTGCACATGTTGAAAATTTGTTGGATTGAGTATAAATTAGTTTGTTTTTTTTTTTTTGTTAGTGAAACTCATAAAATATTTTGAGAAACAATTTCAGAGAAGTCATTGTTTCTTACATTTTTATTTCTTTCGCAATGTAATAAGAAATGAAATTCGTCATCTTTATCATTAACAGAGCAAAAATTACATAATCTAAGATTTCGAGGTACTTTTTTTATCTACCCAATTCAAGTTCAAGATTATGATCACACATTCTAAATTTCGTAATAAGTTTACGAAATTCAAAGTTTAAATGTGACAAATAAAATTCTCTCTCAGTATCTTTTTTTAGATCTTTGTTGAGAAAAAGTTTATTTTGTTCACATAGGTTTTGAATATTAGTTTTATATAGGTTTATATAATGATTAGAAATTTCTACTTTTATTACATGTTTCAGAGATTTGACTTCCTTTATAGTTTTGCATGAAGTCAACTTTTCAGAATCATCTGTCTTTTTAGGGATAATATCTTTGGCATATGTATACCAGGAATATACATTTTGTGCATCTAACACCTTACATATTTCAACTGATTCCTTTAACAGAGGATTAATATCTGAAGTGTGTAGCCTAGCCATATATAATAAAGACTGGACTCTAATATATATATAGTTTAATATTGGTAATCTTCCAACTTCAAGACGAGTTGACAAATTTGTTGAGCATTTTCTAACACCCAATATGTATCTACTGAATGATAAATGAACCTTTTCAAAAGGTGATCTATCTATAAAACAAAATGGATCAACAATTTTGTGACTACAGTTTGCACGTGCTTCTGCTCTTATAAATGGTAGGTATGAGTCCATCTTGCATATTTAAACGTTATATAGACAATAATAGTCTATTGACTTGACATATCAACGATATAAGGATGAGGCTTAGAAACGGGGAAATGCGAGGCTCTGCCAAGCTTTTTCCCCGTTTCGGGCCGAATCCTTATATCGTTGATATGTCAAGTCAATACACTATTATTGTATTTATACTGCAATATAGAAAAAACATTTTCAATTGTTGTTTATTGTGTTATTGTTATTTATTTGATTTAAATATTGGGGAAAATCCCCCTTTAAAAAGGCCTCATATCTGGCGGAGAAATATACAACACAATGAAATGGACATTACCTGTTGAAACAAATCGATGGTGAACGAATTCGTTTGAGTATGGACTAAAATATCAACAATAAGCATAAAACATAACGATTTATAGGTTTTAAACAAAAAATATTAACAAGTGAAATACGTTTTTCCAACAATTGTAAAAAAAATAAGTTTGAGTCGTTCCACGCTTCGTTGTATACATTGGAAACAAGAACCGGTTGAAGTAGTCATCATGAATAATTAAATATAGTTCCGGCTTTACTATTTAAATATTCGTGAGGAAAAGTGATATCGGGTCAGTGACTGTATATGACATAGAAATATACAGTCAACGCATTTTGACTGCTCAAATAGAACGAGTGCAGTATAAAAGTTAATACAGGTCTGACTAATGAATCAAATAAACTAAATGCCACTTTGATTTGCGCATTACTAATAGCTGCAAACGAAAATATAAAGCAAATATAATCTTCCTAGCTTTTTTTGGCTTGATCATTAATGCTAGAATTAAGATTACCATTTCTATGAACAGACTTAAGAAATTTATATTCTATAACACTGTCACTGAATTGAGTTTTATATTGAATAAATGGGTTTTCTGCTTTGCAGTTTTTTTTTCTGAAATATCATAGATTTTGTCTTCATGTTTACTGTTAAGTGCGATTTATCACAGTATTGGGATAATCTATTCATACTATTTTGAAGCCCATCTTTAGTTTCTGAAAGTAAAATTGTGTCATCTGCAAAGAGAAGACTATTTATAATCAACTAGTTTTATTGGTATACACTCATCATCTAAAAAATATATCATTCATATCATTAATAAAAATATTATAATGTAGGACTGATTGTGTCGCCTTAACTTACCCCTCTGTGTTTTTTTAAAAATGGTGATGAGACATTATCAAATCTTAGTGAAAATTCTGTGTCTGAAAACTGGTTTTTGATTACTGGGTATATACTTTTGCCCATCCCTAATTTAGCCAATTTGAAAAGAAGACTGTCTCGCCAAACAGTCAATAATTGCTCCTTTTATGTCCACAAAACATGTATAATTCTTTTTATTATTTTGAAGCAAATATTTATTCAAGTTTTTTGGGTTTCCCTGAACCAAACTGAGAGGCAGAAAATGTATTTATCATAAACATTTTTAGTCTATCATTCAGAATGCTACCAAATATTTTATGACAGCAGTTGATTAAATAAATACCTCTGTAGTTGCCAGTATGACATTTATCTAAATTAAATGTGTTTTTGTTAGATGCTTTTCTACTTTGTATTGATCTGATATTTAAGCCATTTTCAACTGATTTTTATAGTCTGTTCTTATGTTGTGCTGTAACACCACTGTCCCATGTTAGGGGAGGGTTGAGCGCTCATAAACAGGTTTAATCCCACCACATTCTTCATGTACCTATCCGAAGTCCGGAGCCTGTAGTTCAGTTTTTGTCGTTGGTTCATGTCTGTCATATTTGTTTTTCGTAAATTGTTTTGTATAAATTAGTTCGTTAGTTTTCTCTATTGAGTTGTTTCATATTTTTCATGTCGGGGCCTGTTATAGCCGACTATATGGTATGGGTTTTTCCTCATTGTTGAAGGCCGTACGGTTGCCTATAATTTCTTACATCCACTTCATTTGAACTTGGGTGTCTCATTGGCAATCATAACACATCACATCTCCTTATTTTTATATTAACCGTCGAAAAACTCATTTTTCAATAAAATTCATTGAAGATTTGTCAAAGTTGTTCATGTTTAACAAAACATATAACCACAGACTGAACCTAAATGTTAACGACGAAGACGACACATCCACGACGAATAATTATACTATATTGGTGTGCCTCGGCTTTGCCACTTTTGTCGCGGGAGAGACATGATAATACTTGACAAAGACGTATAATCATGATAATGATTGGTTGATTGTAACTCGATTAATACAGCACACTCTTACGGCCAGTGTTATTCAATGGAGTGATCGTATCGAGCGGAATGTAACGACTAGATTATTCTGGTTAGGTTGATTGTAACTCGATTAATACAGCGCACTCTTACGGCCAGTGTTCTTCAATGGAGTGATCGTATCGAGCGGAATGTAACGACAAGATTATTCTGGTTAGGTTGATTGTAACTCGATTAATACAGCGCACTCCTACGGCCAATGTTCTTCAATGGAGTGATCGTATCGAGCGGAATGTAACGACTGGATTATTCTGGTTAGGTTGATTGTAACTCGATTAATACAGCGCACTCCTACGGCCAGTGTTCTTCAATGGAGTGATCGTATCGAGCGGAATGTAACGACTGGATTATTCTGGTTAGGTTGGTTGTAACTCGATTAATACAGCGCACTTTTACGGCCAGTGTTCTTCAATGGAGTGATCGTATCGAGCGGAATGTAACGACTGGATTATTCTGGTTAGGTTGATTGTTGTTTCTTTTCGATTTATTGATCAAGAAGAACTGTCGATAAAAAGGAATGCTGAAGGCAAGGTAACTTATTTGCTACAGTAAAAGAAAACTCTTAAACATGATGAAAACATTTTATTTCTTTCTAAATATTATATCATTTGCCAAACCTTGGAAATGAGACATTTTGATAAGTGAGGAGTACCCTTTATTTTCTACAAATGTTTTCACTGGTGTTTCTCCTCCTGGAACATGTGCGATTTCAACCGTCATCATATCTATATATATTTTATCAAATGGTATAGTTCGTAAAACTTCTAATTCATTTCCCTCCACATCGAGGCTGAAGAAATCAACGTGTGTCACGTTTAAAGCCTTCATTATTGAATAGAAAGGAAAGCACTGGACATCCACAATGTTTTTGCCTTTTGCATTCTGGTCCTGTACTATCTTGCCTACATTGAAACTTTTTTTGAACTGCAGCTGAAAATTGATAAGTAAAAACTACTACAAGCGAAATAAAAATGATGATCGCGTAACAACAACTCAACTGGTTGAAAAATAGGAAAATAAGATTTAGTGAAACAATTTGGGTTATTTTTCTACTTTTTTTTATTTGTTTTTTTAGAACCACAAGACATAGATTTTTGACAACAAAATTTTTGTTGGGAAAGGTGGCTAGAGCAAATATTGCAAAATTAAAACGCCCATGTCTTCCAAAATGAAAAAAAAAATAGCTCTAAAAAACAAGAGAATACTATGCAAAAGAAAAATTGACCAACACACAGTCAGAACTACAGAAATATATCGAATGAGGGACTTAGAATAAATGGGGGAAATTTAAAAAGAAAATGAAAAAATCCCAACATTTTATTGCAATCAAAATGTACGTTTAGTTCCAAGATTTAAAAAAATTCCAAACTTTTTATAAAAGCTAAAAACTTTAAATGGCAAAAGCGTTTCATGATTTACAGTGCTTAATTTGTGTAGGCAAAGAAGCTTATTCGGTATTATTGTCTGTTTGATAATGATGATATAATAAATGGAAAGCTTATAACCTGTTACCACAGTCATAAATGCAAAGGTGTTAGTGGCTCAAACAGGTGGTTGGGTCGTCATAATTCTAAAGTTAGATAGATGTAAGCTTTAACTTGCCGCAGGCCTCATTAGGACTAGATATGAAGAACAACTAAAAGGCCTAACCTTGACTTAAGATAAAGAGCAGCAAAAAAATCTTACTGTCACTATGAGATGAAGAACAGCTGTAACGCCTACCTGTGACATTGAGATGATGAACAGCTATAAAAAAAAATTGTTTGAATCAGAGTGATTTTTTTCGGAGTACGATTTATCCCTCCCTAAGACAAGATACTTTTTGGTCATTCTTTTTTTTATGAAACAAAGCAGGACCAACTCTTTCAATTTGTCTTTTAGTTTGGATGGGAATACTTGTGTAAAGCGTAGAAGAGTCAAATATTGCAAGATGAAAAAGTCTTGAAATGTATGTAAGGTTTAATTGTGACACTGAGATGAAGAACTGCTATAAGGCATAACTGTGACTTGGAGATGAAGAACAGCTGTAAGGCGTAACTGTGACATTCAGATGAAGAACTGCTTTAGGGTCTTAATATTACTTGAGATGAAGAACATCTGTAAGGCTTTAAAGTGGCTTTGAGATAAAGAACATCTTTTAGGCCTAAAAGTGACTTTGAGATAAAGAACATCTTTAGGGCCTGAGAACAGCTATGAGACATGACTATGACTTTGAGATAAGGACTTCTTGAGGTTCCACTAAAGTCAAAATATAGGACACTTCATAAACGTCTAAACTTTGCCTGTATTTTTCAACCTATAATGAGTAAAGTCCTAAACTATGAGAACATATGTTCATTTAAACATACTTAACATATACACACTGTGTAAATTGTAAATAAACTTGAAATTAGTATGCTGTGGCCAAACCGGTTCTTGGGGTGAACACTAAATTTTCAAAAAAATCTGAAGGCCTGCGAGACGACATAATTTGCTTAAAATTGGTATGGACGAATACTGTTACATGTATTGCAGAGCAAGCTCATGTTGATTTGTCACATACATATGTTTTAATAGCATATTTCTACAATTTCTGTATTGTACCTTCGATATTTGTTCACCTAGATAAATGAAATTAACTGAAACTCGAAAATTAATACATTTTCTGAAAAATCAACATGAGCTTGCCCTGCATTAGATATTACAGTATTCGTCCATACCAATTTTAAACAAATTAAGTCGTCTCGCAGGCCTCCAGATTTTTTTGAAAATTTAGTGTTCATCCCAGGTTTGGCCACAACATAACAATTTCAAGTTTATTTACAATTTACACAGTGTGTATATGTTAAGTATGTTTAAATGAACATATGTTCTCATAGTTTAGGACTTTACTCATTATAGGTTGAAAAATACAGGCAAAGTTTAGATGATTATGAAGTGTCCTATATTTTGACTTTAGTGGAACCTTAAGGCATAATGTGACTTTCAGTTGAAGAACATATATAAGGCATAACTGTGACTTTCAGATGAAAAATAGCCATAAGGCCTAACTGTGATTTGAGATATGTAAATATCAGCAATAAGATATTACTGCGACTTTCAGATGAAGAACAGCTGTATAACCTAACTGTGAAATTGAGACGAAGAACGGTGTTAAGGTGTAATTGTGACGTTGAGATGAAGAACTGCTATAAAGCTTAACTGTGACGTCGATATTAAGATCAGCTGTAAGGTCTAACTATGACATTCAGATGAAGAACTGCTTTAGGGCCTTAGTGTGACTTTGAGATAAAGAACATCTTTCTTCTCACGTGTTTCAAACAGAAACATCTCTTCCTATTCGCTCGTAACAAATATATACAGAAAATACGTTACATTGTTCCTAACAGAAAAATTTCTTCCAAAGAGGACCTAACCGCCTCGGTTGTGTCGTTGTAGCGTTTTCGCCTCTAGTGCGGGAGGTCGTGAGTTCGAACCCAAACCGGGTCAAACCAAAGACTTTGAAATTGGTATTTGCTGCTTCTCTACTAAGCACGCGGCATTACGGAGTAACAGCAGTAAGCGCAAAGACTGGTCGACTCTGAGTTAGAATAATGTGTCCGGGTAGGGTGACATGTCTTCCTGACGACTGTTACCCTGTGAATCAGAAAAAAAATTCTTCCAAATTATTTCCACAAAAAAAAACATCTCTTCCCGAGTGTTTCTAACAGAAAAATCTATAACTAAGTTTACACAACAAAAATATCTTGTTGAGTGTTGTTAACGAAATCATATCTTCTAATGTGTTTTTAAAACATGAAAAGTATCATTCCACGATGTTCCTAATATAATTATCACTTATCATGTGTTCATAACAGAACTATCGTTCCGATGTGTTCTTAACAGAATAATCTTTTCCCATGTAATAACAATAGAAATACTGCTGCTCGTCATAGTGGTCATGTAGGTTTTCTTTCTATCAAGCAGCTACTTTGCAGGTTAAATCCATAATACAAAGATAGGTAGTACCAATTACACCTGTGTTTTGTGTTATGTTTTGTTTTTGTCACAGGGTTAAATCAGATAGGTGTTTATACATGTTAAAAAATTTAAAGACATTTTTTTCAACAATTCTACATATGGCAATATTACCATGCTATTATACAATATATTAAAATACAGATCCTGAGACAACGCTTTTCTTACAAGGGTCTGACAACACTCCGTCCTACTTTCTGTTCTTGTTATTATCACATCAGCCAATGAAATATCTGCCTCCAAATTTTTGAAGGTGTCTATCAATACGACAAAAGCCAGAGGAATGGATCCCGTAAGGTCTTTAAAACAGAAAGTAGAACGCAAAGCGTGGAGACATATCTCTATACCAATCAGATTGGCTATGATACTGTTGATAATATTAATGATTGATAGAAATTTTTAAAATGAACTTGTTATGAGAAAAAAATCAATAAAAACTAGCTCTACCTCTTTATGGGAAAATAATTTAAATATGTATATTTATAAATATGACATTTGTTTTATGGTATTTGGTGTATAGTTGTCTCTTTGGCAAACAAACATTTGAACCTAATTTTCATTCCTTTGACAACGGGTATTATTTAGCCGAGTATTACTGAATGAATATCCCCTGTTCATTGAGCATAACTCGAAGCTTGTTTTAGAAATGAAGCGGTAGACAGCTTTAGTAATTTACACGGTCTAATCAAGGACTATGTAAAAGACCTATAAAAAGTAGAAAGTAGTTCCATGTGTTTTGAAGCATCAAAATGGTAAAGTCTAGTTATATGTAGTCTAAGCCTCCAGTTAAATTATATAAAGAAGACAACTCCGTCAAGATTCTTAACAGTTTTGAAACAAGAAGTGAAACCCTCGCTTTCTATATAAATAACCAAACACTTTATACTGAATTTATAGTTAAAATGTTTTGTTAAACTAACCTTTACTGGATATGGGTAAATACTGAGACAAGCGTTAATGGTAAATGCTTTTCTGTTCTTTTTCTTCACTAACGCATAGTTTGATGGGTCAGCCTCAATCAAAAGACCGTTCCAATCCCTCGAGCGTTCAAATATCAAGGTATTCGATCTGGTTTCCCCATCGAGTGCACCACATTCCACGAAAAATCCACCTTTCTGAAATAATGATTTAGTTTACTCACTTTTTTATATAGTGGACACACCCTCTTTTTCCCCAAAAAAAGGTACTGTTATAAGTGATTGTCTTGGCGGAAGGAATTACCTTTGTTTTCATTTTTTTACCCATTTGCTGAGGTTAAACGATTACGAAATTATTTTCGTATACATGCTGCTTTTAAATTTTTTCATGCAGAGAAGTGCCAAAGAAAGACTTCATTTTATTTATAGAAAAAAGCGTGCACCTAGTACCTCAAAACTTAATCGTTTTCCGTCGTCATTCAGGCCGGAAAGTTAACTTTTCTCTCTCACTGTTTTGTTAAATGAATTTCTAGAATATGACAGTATACTACTGTTAGTATGAGATACAATTCATTGAAATTCAATTAAAAAAGTCGAAACAGTATTCTACAGCGAATTGCAGTTGGGTATTCAGCATATCACATTTGTTTTACTGCGTCTTCAGTTAGGGATGTTTGCTGGTATTGTTTTTGACTTTTTGTCAGATATTCGGAATCTTCTGGTTTTATCGAAAAAGTGCCATTAAAAATTTGACCTGATAACTCCTTCTTTTCTTTTTATAATTGTATTACATATAGTTTTAAAAGCCATTTTTGAAAATCTTATAAAATCCTTGTTATTTTTTCATAGTTTTTGAAATAGTTTTCATAGTTTTGCTAATGTTAAATGGAAGAAAATGTAGAGAGTATTATTATCAAATTTTCAAAGGCTTATATCTCAAAAATAAGACAGGGACCTTTAATTTTTTCTGCTTTTTTTAGTTCCGTTATTTATATACTATCAATCTATAACAGCCTTTTATAAAAAAAAATTAAATTTTGAAACGGAGCAGCGAACATCCTTAACAATAAGTAACTTTTAAATGTATGTTTTACTATCGAGGAGAGATGTAAATATATATCATCGAGCAGGGATATGAATGACATGTATTGAGTTTTTGAGATAGTATATCATCAATACCTCGCATACAATAGTCAGGTGTTATGGTGGTATGTTGATTTTTAGAGAACATGTTCTAGCGTAATGTATAATCAACACAATAGAAGAGTCAGATAGTATATTACTAATCAGATAACATACTCTATATAATTGTATATTGAACACCATAAAAGAGTCAGAATATATGTTACTAATCAGAAGACATGTTCTTATCTATTGTATCATCATACAAGTGTCAAAATGTATGTTATTAATCAGTCTGAGAGGTCATATTCTGATGTATTGTATATTGAACACCATACATGATGGATTGTATCTTCAACACCATAGAAGACTCAGAATGTATGTTGCTAATTAGAGGACATGTTCTGATGTATTATATCTTCAAAAGCATAGAAAAGTTTGAATGTATGTTGCTATTCAGAGGACGTATTCCAGCGTACAATATCATCAACTCGATAGAAATATCATAAGACAGGAGTTAAGTACCGTTTCAAAAGGTATGTTACTGATCAGAGAACATGTTCTGGTGTATTGTATTATCAACACCATAGAAGAGTCAGATGGGATAATACTAATCAGAGAACATGTTCTGGTGTATTGTATTATCAACACCATAGAAGAGTCAGATGGGATAATACTAATCAGAGAACATGTTCTAGTGTATTGTATTATCAAACCCATAGAAGAGTCAGATTGGATAATAATAATCAGAGAAGATATGCTGGTGTATTGTATCATCAACATTAAAGAAGAGTCAGATAGAATGAAACAAATTAGAGAATATAAATTGGCGTATTGTATCACCAAGGCCATAGAAGAGTCAGATTGAATGATACGAATCAGAGAACATATTCTGGCGTATTCAATCATCAAGACCATAGACGAGTCAGATGGGATGATATTAATGAGAGAACATATTCTGGCGAATTATATCATCAACACCAAAGAAGAGTCGGATGGAATGACACTGATCAGAGAACATATTCTGGCGTAATGTATCATCAAAATCATAGAAGACTCAGATGGAATGATGTTAATGAGAGAACATATTCTGGCGAATTATATCATCAACACCAAAGAAGAGTCAGATAGAATTCTGGCGTATTGTATCATCAACAACATAGAAGAGTCAGATGGAATGATATTAATCAGAGAACATATTCTGGCGTTTTGTATTATCAGCACCAAAGAAGAGTCAGATGGAATGGAATGATTCTTATCAGAGAACAAAGTCTTGCGTTTTGTATTATCAACACCACAGAAGAGTCAGATGGCATGTTACTGATCAGAGGGCATATCTAGTGTAAAGAACCAGTATCATCATACTAGAGTCAGATTATTTGTCACGAATGAGAGGATATGTTATGGCGTAGTGTATCGTGAACACAACAAAGTCAGATACCATGTAACTACTAATAAAACATGATCTGGTTTATTGTATCAACAACACCATGGAACAGTCAGAAGTATAATACTGGTCAGAAATTATGTTTAGTCCATTATATTAACAACACATCTGAAGATTCGGGTGGAATTTAGCTAATAAGATGACATGTTCTAGCGTATTGTATCATCAACACCAAAGTAGGGTCAAACAGTATGATACTGATCAGAGAACATATTCTGATGTATTGTATCATTAACACAATAGAAGAGTCAGAATATATGTTATTTAGCCAAGAATATGTTCTGACATATTTTGTATCATTGTCACTATGGAAAGTTACTACTCAAAGAACATGTTCTGGAGTATTGTTTAATAAACACCATAAGAGAGTCAGATAGCATGTTTCTGATCAAAGAACATATTCTGACGTATTGTATCATCAACACCACAGAAGAGTCGGGTGGTGTATTGATAATATGAGAACAAGTTGTGTTGCATTGTATAATCAACACCACAGAAGTATCAGATGGTTTCTTACTATTCAGAGAACATGTTTCATTAACATCATAGAAGATACCGACTGCATGTTTCTAATCAAGGGACAATGTTCTGGTGTATTTTATGATCAACATCATAGAAGGAGTTCTTTGATTTAAATTCCTCTTAAAATTGAAGGTAAGGGGTGGCATGAGAATTTTTTGTGGACGGAATATTATCATTCTCCATTTGAAGGTCATTTTATAAGATCCGCGTGTCGCCAAACCGCCCATATAAGTGTGTAACTATAAAGACATAATGCTTCTATCGTACAATCTTAACTTTCTGTTTGTCTAGGTAGAAACGATTATCACGTATGATTTGAATCAAGAGACTTTTTCTTAATTTTTATTATTAAAAAAAATTTTAAATAAAGAAAGGGGGGCAGGAGGATTGACTATTGATTTTTGTCTGTTGCCTCCTAGCAAGCTTATTTTTTCGGGAAATTTAATATCACTATTGTACACAATGTTTTCCTCTTTTTTTTTTGGCAAAATATCCATTTTCATCTAGTCTTATGCAAGGTTATTTATTTTCAGCTCCAACTAGGCCAGGATATTCATTCCCCCCCTTAATTTACAATGATCGTCCCCTAACAAAGAGCTACGTTTAACATGCACACACCCTGATACACTTACCTTAAAATGTAATCTGTTATCAACAAATGCAGCTTGTCCAATTGAAGTGTCCATTACATGAGGTTGTTTCAGATTGTATGGTTGATCTGACGGGTTTTCAATCCAGTAATTTCTTATTAGTCTGATTAATCTTGGGTCATCCATATCAACTTTTTGTTTATTAAGGGTGTCCATCTCCTCGAGGTAGTCATATTTATTTCTTACTTGATTGATGAACATTGTCGCTTTAGTATCCGTGACATTCCAAATTTTCTGAAGCTGTGACGTAATCCCAAAGAATATAAAAAAAAGTGCGAAGAAGGTACCAATTTTGTGGTAATTCAAAAATCCCATTGTGTGTTTAAAGAACAATTGTTGAATAAGTTGTGAAATCAATCTTTATCTTTAACTGTAAATTAAATTGAGATATTAAAATATATATATATAAAAATAAAATATAATTAAAACTGTAACTAGTAACGGAGCAAAACAGAACAGATTTTTAGTTGATGAAAAAATCCGAAGCAAGAATTGTTATATACAATTACAACATATTTAAACCAAAAGTTATAACTATGTGATAATTGAATTTGATTTCGATTTCCAATATTTGTTTACCTTTTTTATTGCACTAGATTGATCGTATACATTTTAAAGGTAACGGGTGTTCTGTCACGATGTGTGAACAGATGAAGAGGGAACAATTGATATGGATCTCTTTATTATTAAGGTAACAGAATCAATAGTTACTATCAACCCAGTTAAAGTTATTTTGAAGCCACAATCGCACATTTTGAAAATATTATCTGTTAAATAATGATATATGAAGTATACATTGACATGTAAATTGTCTTGTTTTCATTATTCATTGAGGAAATTGCATTAACAATTTGTTATTCTGACGTTTAGAATTGTTAATCAAGGCTGCATATTGAAAAAAAGGGGGGACACCTTTGTATACACAAACATCATCTCTTTCCATACATTAATTTTCGGTGTATCAACCTCAGATGAGGTTAAAAATGAAGTATTATTTATTTGAATAAGACATATACATAAATAAAGCACATATATTATTGAAAGCCAACGGGGTCAAAATTCTTAATTCGTAAATTGTCAATTTGTAACTTGTATAACTGTGAAATTTCAAAATTCTTAATTCGTAAATTGTCAATTCCTAACTTGTATCTTTGTAATTTCAAAATTCTTAATTCGTAAATTGTCAACTTGTAACTTGTAACTGTGAAATTTCAAAATTCTTAATTCGTAAATTGTCAACTTGTAACTTGTAACCTGTGAAATTTCAAAATTCTTAATTCGTAAATTGTCAATTTGTAACTTGTATCTTTGTAATTTCAAAATTCTTAATCCGTACTTTGTCAATTTGGAACTTGTAACTGTGTAATTTCAAAATTCTTTATTCGTAAATTGTGTCAATTTGTATATTGATGTTTTGTAACTTGAAACATGTCGATTCGTTAAATGTCATCGTTCAACTTGTTGCTAACGATCATTATGACGACAGATGGCGCTCAGTTTCTTTTTTTGTGTATAAGTCTTCTGTAAGTAGGTGCACCTCCATATGGAGTATATACCCTTAGTAATTTAAATCAGTTATTTAGAGCACATACATATAAACATCTTCTTCTTTTTCATATCAAAGAAAACAAATAGAAAAATCATTTTTTTATTTTTATATGACATGTATACAGGGACCCGGTTTTATTTTGTTTTCTGAAGACGACAAGTGGCGTTTCGTTCGAGAACAGAAATTATATAAAAACACAACCCGAATAATTCAGTCTCTCCACGTAATCGATCTCTCCTACTTGCGAGGTTAATGAAGTGGTCGTAGATCAGCGGAATATATCGACTGAATTATTCGAATAAATAGATATAAGGAGATGTGGTAATAAACCGTATGTTTGCAAATGAGACAACTATCCACCAATGTAAGCAATTATAGGCAACGTACGGCCGTCAACAATGAGAAAAACCCATACCATATAATCGGCTATAAAAGGCTACATCATTACTGGAAAACCCAGGTAATAAACGGTTTCTATTAATCCTAAAATGCTATTATGGGACAATTTTATTCTGACCGAGGGGGAAGGGCTGACCGATATATATATATTGATATACATGCCTACTAAACTTTTCTGGCCAAGAAGCTTAGGAATTGCCACCACCTGATTTTTCGTTCTATAAAAATTTACAAAATGTGTTGCAAACAAAAAGACCGATAGGGTGTTCTCCAAATATTCCAGATTCCCTCCCTCTCAACTCCTGCTTCACGCCCCGTACTCCCGGTATCCCCCGTGCCACCTCCTCCTTAGCCTGGCAACCTCGGGGCGGGGGGCACTTCTTAAATACAAGGTGATTGGAAGTGCCGCTGGAATAGGTCACCTTTTCAAGCTTGAAAATATGTGAATAGGTCGGGAAAATTATCAGAAATATATGATAAGGTCAATAAAGTTCCCATAACTTCGTCTGTCATCTTTCTTGGTGTTCCCGGCTGTGTTTTTATCAACCAATTTTTCTCTTTTGACACTTTGGTATTTCACTCTTACATTACACACCACATGAAACCCAAACAAGATAGGAAAAGATTACATTTTTCCTACGCAATATATGAAAAGGTATACATTTTTAAAATCTAAATTATATGAAAAGGGTGGGGTAACAGAACCCCAGCGGCACCCCCTATCAATTAAGTATTGAAGTAGCATCCCCCCCCGGAGCTGGCAACCTGACCCAATCTAATACTTCGTCGATCGGATCGTTAATTAACAGTTGATTCACGGTGTTAATCAATAACGTTTGTATTATATAAGCTAATTTTTTTAGAAATTTGCATTTCATATCATCGGAAATAAAAAATAATTTGCAATGAATTCGTAACAATATAAATATTTCCCGCCATTTGCCAAGAAAAGACGCTATCCCACGATGTATCATTCTAATATCCAATTGACAAAACCATGTTGTTGTATTCCACCTGGCTCTACTGTCGAGCAGTGAGCCAGGATCCCAGGCTACCCCCTCCTTACAGTTTGCCACCATTTTGCTCTCCAAAATTATCCCTGACAGACCCCCAACCCCAAATCATGTGCAAAGATTTTCATGAAGAAATAAAATTATTGCGAACAGATTGGCGAGAATTGTTTCTGTGGGGTTTTCTCTCTGACCAGCCAGTAGAAGTACTTTTCAAAAAATAATTCTCGCCGGCAAGTAATTCTTGTAACACCATTTTTGGCACCTCTCCTGTCCGATAAGTTATACATAGCTTTGAATACATAACATCTAACAGATTGCTGATGTTTTGCTCTCTAAAATTAGCTGTCATGTATGAAGATTTTCATGGAGAAATAAAATTAGGGTAAGCAGATTGGCAAGAATTGCTTCTGTCATGCAAATGGCGAGATGGCTAGATATTCTCTCTGACCAGTCAAAGGAGTAGGGTGTCACTTTGGTTAAAAGTTAATTTAGTCTTAGATGCATGATTTTTTTATTAGTTGTTATTAGCTTTAAACTAGCTGTCAGTAACTGCGAGTACTCTCAGATCTGTACTTAGTGTCTTTTTGTTGTTTGGATGTACAAGTACCCGGCCACGTCCACTCTATGTTTTTGTTATATGTATTTCTATTTGTATCCATCTGATGAGTTAAGCCTTTTCAACTGATTTTTATAGTTCGTTCTTATGTTTTACTGTTACACCGTTGTCCCAGGTTAAGGGGGGGGGGTCCCGCTAACATGTGTAACCCTGCCACATTCTGTATGTTCCTGTCCCAAGTCAGGAGCCTGTAATTCGGTGGTTGTCGTTTGTTGCTGTGTTACATATTTATTTTTCGTTCATATTTTGTACATTGATTATACCGTTAGTTTTCTCGTTTGAATTGTTTTACATTTGTGATTTCAGGGCCTTTTATAGCTGACTATGCGGTATGGGCTTTGCTCATTGTTGAAGGCCGTACGGTGACCTATAGCTGTTAATTCCTGTGTCATTTGGTCTATTGTGGAGAGTTGTCTCATTGGCAATCATACCACATCTTCTTTTTTATATAGGTTTCATAGTTTTACGATCATGGTCATTGACAAAATATCCAGAGGGGACACCACCAGGACATCACACCGGTATACTCCTAGTATATGTCATGTCTCGTCAATCCAGTAATCATTCTAAATCTGTATCTGTATCTGTAGGAATACGTTGTGGATACCAATACTGGCTTTAATACAATGGTAGATAGAGCGACGTCGATTTATTGACGGTGCACGAGAGCAGTTTCGGAAGCTCGGTGTGCGCACTACTGTGTCTTCAAGGTGGTTCCACTCGACTACTGTTTTTACGAAAAATGAGTTACAATATTGTGGTATTTTGCTCGTTGGAATCTCAAAACACTGCGTATTTCATGACTTGTTTTTCCACAATATTTATTGCCTGATAATTGTCAAATCCCTTGGCAGTTATTGATCTTTTTGACGAGCTTTTTTTAATTTAAAATATTTGTCTGGTTCTATAGCAGGAATCAGCCCTTCAACCAACTCGTACAGAAATATAATAACATGTCAGCACCATACATTTTAGCTATTCATTTTATTTGTTATCATAGCTATCGAATTGTATGACTGAGCAGTATCCATCTGCAAGCTAACATCATGCAACGTCAACTTCACATCATGTACTTTAAACCCAACGTTACGTGTGTTTGGCATATCATCACAACATCGTGACTTATCATTATACTATCACGACTAAAGCACTTGTCATTGCAAGTCAACATTGTGCAAATTCAACTTAGCATATTGTAATTTAGACTTAGCATTTTGATGACTCAATTCAACATCACGCTGTCTTAACTTTACATTTTAAGCTTCAGCATAACGTTTTGTAAATATCTAATATATGACAGCTGAGGCTTTCCATAATAAACAACCGTGTCAAGATATTGACATGTTGTTCGCCTTAAGGTTAAGGAACAGTAAATGGACTATGTCACAGATTTTGCTTAAATTTTGCATCTAAACGGAAATTTATGTATCAACAACATACAGTTTTTCAAGAAAAATCTATGTATAAGAAGTTAGAGATTTGATGATTTAAAGACAAAGGAGAAGGTCCGGTAAGGGCTAATTTTGGCCTAAAATTCAAAGTACATCTGATGAAAGATTTTTGTCATTTTTTATACAATTAAGTGTCTTCTTCAGTCGACTCAATTAGATTATGTTAAAGATTTTAACTGAATTGGTCATCAAAGAGGCTCAAATTCAAGCTTAAATATGAACTTTTTTTCAAATATGTCATAAAACGTCACTTTTCAGATAGTTTTTGTCTAAAATGGAAGTGGCCGCATTCGTGTCCAGTCTCAACATTTATATATGTTATGTATTATCAATAAATACAACATATATTTAAATATTAAGACTGAACACAAGTGCGGCCAATTCCAATTTAAACAAAAAGCGTCTTAAAATTAGCACAAATGATAATATTGTGAAGATTTCAGTATTTTTGCATGAAATAATGATGCTAGTACCTGATGCATGT